CATTACTGTCCATTGTCAAGGTACTGCAAGTTCACACTGCAAGTTTTACAAGAGAAACAGTCAAACAGCACTGTTCTCGAGCATAGCTCAATAAATTCATTCACCGAATCAGTGCGCAGTATTCGGGTCAGGTGACACAACACTGCCGCGAGCTGTTTTAGGCGGAATCTCAAATGGCTCCCTCCTCCCTACAAAGTGCAGCACGTAGGTCTTAAAATAATGATTAGAGCATCTAAATAGTGCACAGTATGTCTAACAAAGAACCACTTTGGATTCGGCCATCTTTGCACAATTCATACTGGACACAAATTGCAATATTTAGGAGTAAAAGCAAACAATTCGTAACTCACATAGTGCACTATGTAGGGAGCAGTAAGCCATTTGAGATTCAGCCTTAGGATTTTCCGAGATATGATCTTGTAGATGTTTAATATTGTCCATTAATGGGCTGTTTTTGTTGCAATTTTCAGCACTTTATCTACTTGTTTTATGTTGAAGATGTTAAATATTCTTAAAAGAAACTTGTATCCATTACATGGCATTGTTTAACTCTGAAAGATGAAATGTCCACTGAAGTATATGCTTTTGTCAAGAAACAAAATTTAAATAAAAGGACACAACTTTTTCACTAAAGTTTAATTTTGTAAGTTATCTGTATTTTGTTGAGTTATTTTTTCTTAACCAAACCGACTCAATATCCATTTGATTGACAATAAAAAAACAAGATTTTTGAAAATTCGTTATGGATGCACTACTTATAGTGCTAACAGTCTTCAGTGCATGTCCAGAGCAACAGGCATTAGCCACTGATGCAAGTCATACAGCAAACCATCTAACAACAACTAAAGGTCAGGCTCAATTTGTGTATGTACACACAGGGCTGAAACAGCAGGAATCAGACCAGGCAAACAAATACAAAAATGGGTCAGTTCAGGCTATAAAGCATGCCAGATCTATCAGCTCACATTGCATATTTTTTGGTAGTGGAAATTCATTAAGCCTCTAATCACACAACTGCAGTGTAATATATTGCAACACTGATGGCATAATTTGTACTTGTATCTTGTTTGTTACATCTCTGGCAAAAATTTGTGCTTCTAAATGGAACACTACTGTGCTGAGACAAGCGAATCATAAAAGTAAACAATACATGTTTAGCAAAGTTGTTTGATTCACAAAATATCTTGCTTTGAAAATGAAATAGCTGATTTTAATGTGCATCATGCCAAAACATCCCAATTCAAGTCAGCACAAGAAAATCTAACACACTACCAAAATCCACTTTCAAGCTTCTTCAGCAGTTCACACATAAATTGCTCTTACACATAAAGTACTCTTAGATGTTTCTACATCAATGCCTACTTACTATCACCTTTGTTCACATGCTAAGGTCACCTCATTGTACAAATATACAAAAGAGAAACATTGTACAGTAACACAAACATTACCTCTTTCACTCTGAGATAGAAACTGACAACTGCTCAATTTGTGAAGAACAATTTAAATGAGTCTAGAAATAAGATGCAAGTTTTGGAATTGACAGATATCTTGTGTCAATAAATAAGACTTAAAATCAATGTCATCTGGTTTTGGCTCTGAAATGTCACAGTCAGGTTAAAGAGTGAGAGACAGAGCATTCACAGGTATGCATGTGAGAGTTTGAGGTCCAACTAAAACCTTCAGCTCATCATTTTGCCACACAGAAACACTGACCAAAATTTCTTCAACAGTGAAGTATGAGTGGGAGTGAGGGGGGCACAGTGGCATGTAGTGTTCATACAAAGGGCCTTGGAGTAGTTTAAGAACTGCTTGTTTAGAATGCTCCTGAGCTGTTTTACTTCACTGCACCCTACAGAAGACACAGGCGAGCAACAAAGATAATTGGGTTTAGTCTCCACTTTTTTATATTTCAGTTTGTCCTGAGATCAGTCTCCATATGCATCAGTGAGAGTGTAAACTCTTGTCAGCTTTAATGAAACTCTGTCTTGTGCTCGTTCATGTTATTTATCTCAGCCATGGTAGCTGTACTGACTACAAAACACAGCGGACAAGAACATGTGTGCCAAGGGTATCAAGCTCAGACAGTGTCATAGCAGAGTTACACAGAAGCAAGATGATTTTCTTTCTGTCTTGTATCAAAGTGAACGTGAGCTGATTCTGTTATCACTCATCTCTAGCACTATTTCACTCGGCCTGCCCGATGGCTTATTGGAGAATCTTGCAAGCTGTGGCCTGGCACCTCCTTCAGTGAAGAATTTTACCTATAAGTGTTGAGTCTACCAATACCACTGGGATCAACAAACAGATGACTTTTTTTCCGTCAGCAGAGCCAATTTCCTCAAAAGAAATGACATGATATATAAACTGTACCAGTGCACATACTCGGATGAAGAAGCAATGCACGGTGAAAGATGCTTCATTGCTGATTAGACCATGAAGGACAGAAACAGAGTAAAAGCATGTGGAGCACTTTACAGAGAGGCTCCAGTCTGGCTGAGGTAGACATGATAAATAACATGTGAAAGGTAGGCCTGTCACAATTATTGCATAATTGCCTGACTGCAATTATCTGAGCTGATCATAATTATTTAAGAAGACTGTGTTCATATGTTTATGTTGCAACAAACAGAATGTGAATAAGTTGGGTGTTTTCCTCTTTGGCTTGTGGCAAATTAGTGCAAATTACAAAAATAACATAAGCTGACCTATGTCACAGATCTTAAAAAAACAACAAAAGCTCTGCATGTACGCTGGTGAGCGCTTTTGACATCCTCAAGACAAACATACAGGCTTTGCTTGACACTATACATGAGTCTGTGTAACTGCAGACATTTGTGTGAGTGCACATGCACAACAGTGCAATATCTCATTTCATGTCAGTACAACCTAGTATTATCCGAAATCTCTCCTTGGAGATCAGCAAAGTACATCTATCTGTCTGAGGATCAATCTCTCTCTCTCTCTCTCTCTCTCTATCTATCTATCTATCTGCCTCTTTATCAATAAATCAATCTATCTGCTACTAAATAATGATAAATAGGCAGCAAGATCACTAACTGGCAGCTACTTTAATAGTAATTGTTTATATGTAAATGTTAATCTACATTCCAACAGAGTAACTAAGAAATAATCCCAGCAAAAAAACACCAGGTCCCATGTTTATCAAATATATAAGAGTAATAGCATTAGTGTTGGATCAGGGTCAATAATCATGAAGCCTTTTAGAACCAGAGTGCTGTTCTAGGATCCTCTCTTATTTACTGTGGCTTCACCATAAGAAACGTTGCTCCTAGATTAGTTCATACTTTAAGAAGGTTCATGAATACAGGCCCAGGCTTCATCCCATCAGGAAATTCCATTCAATTAAACATGAAAACTGTAAGCTGATCCCAGAGGTTTTCTGACAATCTGTAAGAATTATTATGGATAATAAAGCTGACCTAAGTCCATTTTGGGGACTTGGTAGCAATGTGAAATTGCAAGCTACACGCAGAACATCTTATAACGTAGGTTGTGTTAGGGGCCCATTCCCCAAGTGGATCAATATGATGACTGAATATTCAAGGAGAACTCGGTCAAAACCTGGTGAAGGGTGTGTCTTCGAGCCGAACCTTCTTTATGAGACTGTGCATGACGTTAATACATCAAGGCGGATGACGCTGCCCAAAAAACCTCTGAGAAATACAACATGATGCTTCTGATTTTTAAATAATTATTTCAGACTTTACAGAGAATATCACGACAGAGCACAAGACTCCATACTTTAGCGTGTTCTTTTCTTTCTGAGTGAGTACATCATTTTTTAACAAAAATGTACATAGTGCACAGTTACACAGAATGCAACTACAGCCCAAGTGGAAAAAATCATTAAAACAGATGATGTGCAAAAAGCAAAACACGGCAAGCATGTTAGACAATGATCTAAATGAATAACTCACAGGCAGAAGTTTACACTGAAACCCATTCAGTTAAATGGAATCCCTACTGAAAATAGGTTGATGACAGAACCAGACTGTAGCATCCTCAGTGATAAAACTTACATCTGACTCACTGGCTGCTATGATGATGTTTAATAGGCGAGATTTCTGGTGATTACAGACAGGCCTAGCAGAGTGTGACATGCATGAAGGCTCCATCATAATTGAGACTCTTGTGCTGTCGTGGATGCATGGTGTCATTTAGCTTCTGAAACAAGGGCAAGTTAATTACAACATCAAACAGAGAATGTATTGTATCACTATGGAGGCTTGCATCAAAGAGCTTATGATAATGAAAGGGCCACGCTTTCATGACATATCCACTTCACTTAGACATACACAAACACTGGCACCTCATTATGTCTCCTTATTTGATGGAAAAGATAGGGAGATAGAGATTATGAAAACAGGTCAAAGCTACCATACAAATTATACAACATTTGTACCATAAATACCATTCGACATACCATGTATATGTATAGGTATATAAACCTTACAGTAGACTATGGGTACCATATAACAGTCTATATTTGCACAATGTAAGCCATTTAACATACTATATACATTATATAATCAATCATTATAGTGTTCTAAGATAAAAGGCAATATTTGGTATTTATTTCGGCATTCTAGACATTTGCTATTCCACCTAGCACAGCGGAAGATAGGAGTGATGAAGAACAAATTAAAGCTAACACAGATCTTGCCCTAATTTATTACAGTGCTATGAGACCAAAGGCAAGACTTGGCATTTATTTTGGTCCAGTTATTTGCTAATCCAGTTCACAATCAACACTTAACACAGTGGAAAACAGGTGTGATGAAGAACGTTACCACACAGCCTGCAATCATTTGGTATTACAAAAAGAAGACGTTATTTTGGTATTCTAATCATTTTCTTCACTACCCCACGTAATAGAGTCTACACTGTCCACCAGACCACATAAAAGTTTAGACCCACGACCTGACCCCTCCCCTCAACCCCCCCTCCACTACTCTGATACTCCAGCAGAGGAAACTCACCACCAGTGTTGGGACCCCTGCGACCACTGCGTAGAGCACGGCGGGTGGGATGGCACTGGTCTCCTCGGGGCCGAGGTAGGGCTTAGTGTACGCGCTGTCGTAGCAGAAAAATCCCTGCACGTGCACGTTGAACGTGTCCGTGTACTCGAAGTAGTAGGCCAGCATGACCGTCCCCGCCATGATCACCAGCTGAAAATAGAGCATGGTCGTTAAAGGTTGGGGGCCGCGCATTTAACGATCTGCTTCTTCCTGCTGGCCAAAAAGCAGCCTGGCCGTCTTCATCTCCTCTCCGCTCACACTCTCCTCCACCTCCTCATCACGCTGCTGCTGCTGCTGCTCCAGCTCCTGCTCGCTCCGCCGCGCGAGCTCGAATGAAAGTGCACTGGAGCTTTTATTCACACCCGTATTCCGACACGACACGCCCCCCACTGCTGTACGATTGGTTAGGACTGCCGTTTGGCGGATTGATTGAGAGTATCAACTACTAGCCAAACTTAGAGCGGGGGCGTGACACTACTAGCCAATCCTAGCTGAAGAGGCCGGACGTTATAAGCCAATTACAAAGCGGGATGCGAGATACCGCTGACTAATCGATGCACAGGAGGCGGGACTTGCCGGAATACGGGTGAAAATAACGGCAGCAGCTCTCTACGTTGAGCAGCTGATGATGGGGACTGACGCAAAGGAGCAACCTGTAAGAGCAAAGCTGCTGCCTTTCGTCAGCCTCAACCTCTGACTGCTACAGCGTGTACCCACAGGGGCTGAGTGAAGCCTCATGAGACGTCACTAAAGTAAGCCTGTAATGTGGACCTGATCTAAAAGGGTCATCCTTCCATCATAACTAAACTTAGATCTGTGCTTAGTTAAGATTACGCGAACCTGGAACTCAGGAATGATGTGTATGAGATGGAAAATTAGCAACTGGACTCTAGAAGTATTTATACTGCATTATCACACTACACTAAGGCCCAATCCCATTTCACCCCTTGCCCCTACCACTTAGCCCTTAGCCCTCTGTTCTGCGCGTTCACGTCTAGGGTTAGGGTGTCCCAATTTTTGTTGAGACAGAGGGGTAGGGTGAAGTGTTAGGGCTACATGGCCCTCCAAACGGAGATTTTTCAGAGGCGCACTCCAAACGGAGTGTTCTCAGAAAAAAGAAAAACCGGCAAGATGGCTGCGCGAGCGACCAAAGAAACCCACAAATGTGAGAAATTTCTCCGTAAAAAATTACAATAACTATAGTATTATCTTAGTTTAATGTCGTTTCAATGTATTATGGTTGTTTTCTTCATAACAAGCATAAAAAATTGCTAATAGCATGCTAATGTTTCGGTAGCTAGCTAACTTCCCGTTCCACCTTAAATAGTCTAGTAGTGTTGATGCCTGAAGCGCCAGAATGTAACTGCTGCACCATTTAAGGTGGAACAGGAAAATCGAACAAGAAGCTGACTTCAGCTTCGTATCACCAAAGAATTAGCAGTGGGCGATAATAAATAATTGTCTTAAACCCCCTCTTTAAAAGGATATGATGCCCTAAATGTAACTAAAGCCCAGCAGCAAGGTCGCTGAACTTTTCTCTCCTCTGCTATCACTGAAGACGGGCTGGGTCGCCTACAGAGTACCGCTACTAGCCTGTTAATGAAGCGATGTTTTGTTTTGCTTTTTTTATTTGAGGGTTGTCCCATTTCGTAGGGCAAGATTCCAACCACTACCCCTTGTAAACTCAGTTCAAATGGGTTAGGGTGACACTCGAAAACAAGGGGTAGGGGTAAAAATGAAGAAATGTGATGGGGCCTTAATGTCCAAAAGTTTGTAGACACTCCTAATTGGTGAATTCAGCTCCTTTAAGGTGTATCTATTGCTGACAAAGGTGTTCGACTGCGCATGCACAGCTGGTTTATAGAAAAACACCGCCAACTGAATGGTGATGCTCTGGAGCAGCTGCACATTAGTTGAAGGTCAGCGTGCCCACTATGTTTAGCGTGGGCTAGAGGAGTATAAAGCCCTCCCCAGCCTTGGGTTGTGGAGCAGCAGAGCTGTGCTCTCTCAACTGAAGAAGCTCCATCCAATACCTTGTAGAGCTGGTATGCTGTTTGTGATCCCAAACTACTCACCCAACATCAGTACCTGGCCTGGCTAAATGCAATCAAATCCTCACAGAAATGTTCCAAGTTTAAACATTCTAGTGTAAAGCCTACCCAGACGAATAGAGGATGTTAGCACAGAAAAGCAGAGTCCTGATTAACATCCTCGATTTCAGAAGAAACATAGGACAAACAGGTGTCCACAAACTTCTGGACATATGATGTATTTAAACTATAAACATGGCTGTGGTTGTGTGGCTGCCTGCCTTTTTGTACATGGGAGTTTATAAAATGAAAGCCATTCAGAGATGTGCCATTGGGAAAGAACAATACAAGTACTTTTATGTTTATCTTTAGAGTTTAAGTTACAGTTATGAAGTTTTAGGAGTCAGCATTTTAACAAAGTGGGTTAAAGTCTGACCTTGTTGCTGCACCATTGCAGATATTAGAACACACTTCAAAGGACTGAAGGCAGCCTTATAGAAACAGTACAATGGCTGTGAAGGATCAAACCAGGCAGAAGCCTTCAACACATCCAATTACTGTGTGCAGTCATTTCAGGACTGTTTATGCTTATAATCCTCTGATGTCTGTTTGAGTCCTCATTTTGTTCCAGTGACACTACAGTTTATATTTGTTAGTATGTAAGCAAATCAGAAAAGAAGAAACAGGGAGTTAGTTGGCCAGAATCAGTGGAATGTTTTAACTGTCATCTAATTGACCTTAACACATTAGAATATCAGTGTGAGACTGAAAATGTTCTTTATAGTTTGCAGTATTAGTGATGAACATGAATGATTTTAGATTGTGCTCTCTTGTGTATGCTTAACCTGTACATAATGGTATCACATGTCTACGCTAAAATCTTTTGGGGGTTAATCACATCTCAGAATCATTCATAAAACTAAAGGGAGCTCATGGGAGGGAGTCGTCTCCTGCTTGCATACCCCCAGATGTTCACATTAACCTAGTAGAGATGCTCTTACAGAGCTGGCATATGCATGATGGGCTGATGATTTGGTGTACACTATGCAAGGAGTTACACATCTGCTGTGCTCAGAGAACTAATCATGGTAATTGGGCAGCTGTTATTTACATCAGCGTGACTGCCAGCATTTGTCTCAGTGTGAGCACAGCAGAGAAGAAAACAGCATGTGTGAAACTATTTGTGAATTATGTGTAATTTCTAAAATACAGAGAAATAAGGAGTTGAACAGAATTAAAGATCTTTCTCTTAACATGGCAAGTGTTTGTCATCGCTTACTGAAGGTCATGTAGTCAAGAATTTCAAGAATAAGTTTCATTATTTAAACCTGTATTATGACTTTTCTGTAATTTATGCTCTGCGATGGACTGGCGACATGTCCAGGGTGTATCCTGCCTTCCGCCCAATGACAGCTGGGATAGGCTCCAGCACCCCACCACGACCCAGAAGGATAAGCGGTTTAGATGATGTATGTATGTATGTAATTTATGCTACTAAAGTTTTAATGTAGGCTCTTACTGAGTATCATACATAATATTACCGAACATAAAAAGCTTACTTTACACTTTTAATAGGCAGAAACACCCAGAGGAACAGATTGACCTATATTAGGTAACCACAGACTCTTCAGCTACCCATATACAGATGAAAAGAAGCACAACAGAACCACCAAGTACAGTAGCTATCTTCCTGCCATGGAAATGCTGAAAATTACAGAATATCAAGAGAACAGAAAAAAACTATCAAAAAAGAAAGCAATCATCAGCTAAAAGAGATCATGGCTGGAGATTCTTTAAAGGCAGTCCTCTTTCTGTACACATTTCATCTCTCTCACCATGTCTAAATAAACAGCACTTATTAAAAGGCAAAACAACAGAGGGAAACTTAAAAGGGGTGAGCTTCAAGCTGCTGTGGCTTATCTTGTGTGCCACACTTCATAAGAAATTCATGCCCTGTCTTCAGGAAGATTTGAGGGGATCCTGTATTTTATTTCCTTTTTTCCTTTTTTTCTGAATGAAAGTATTTGAATTTTTTTTTGGAATGAAAATGCAGGTTAGCAAGTACTGAGGCAGGGAGAGGAAAGCTGTCCACATGGTGTGACACAGCTCATTTCAGTAGCACTCTGTATCAATCTCTGCTTTCTGTGGTGCAGGTTAAAAGACTGGTGGTTCTACACTTTGATTTCAATTTGTCCTAGTGCTAAAACAACATTAATCAATTAATATGTTAATATTGTTGCTATAGGAGCACTTCTACAGCTATTGTAGAGAAACTTACTTTATTTACAGGGCTTTATAGTTGCAATGTCTACAACTATTACATATAGTCATTTTATTTACTACCCAAACTACCAGTGATCCAACAGGTGTCTTTTAATTTTGTCTTTTATGTGTAATGTTGATAATGGTTAAATGGTGCTGAATCTGAAGAAAATATGTTTTCTTTGGGGACTATTTTGCCTTATAACTCCCCTGTATGTAACCCCCTGCCATTGATGGCTTTTAGAAAAGACATTTTAGACCAAAACATTGTCTCAAAACTATTAAACAATGCCCCAGGCATCAGGCAGTGTATTCATAACCATTTCATGTGATAACTTTATAGGACCACCACTGTGAACAATACTGACTTAGTAATTTTCTTTGCATTTTACATCAAACCACTCTGAATTACTTTGTTTAGATATTAACCAGTGACTAATGCATAAGTTTTGAAAAATCAGTTGAATTCTCCTTTGATGCCTCAAAACTGAACAATGGCTCCATTTAAGACAAAAATCTCAAGCAAGCAGTCAAAACAAGAGTTGAATTACAACCTTTCTAGTTCCATATAGGCAAGAACAGCAGGAATCCATAAGAAAAGAAGGAAACTACCAACTCTGCATGTCTGATTCAACACCATTTTAGGAAGAGTCAAGATTAAGTGATACCTATGAAAGACTGTGGATTGGAGGATTGTGGATCAATTTTTCTATAATGCTAATGTGCTACACGAGCAAGAAACCAGGTTAAACTGAACGTGCTTATATCTTTGTATCTCATGCAAGCAAGCATGTTTCCTGGTGAATGACGTGAAGATAATTAAAAAGTAGATCAAGCTCATCAAGACCCTCCCTTAGG